CCCCAAAACCCCAAAACCCCAAAACCCCTCAATTCAATGTTGAGATCTAATATTGCTTGCAGAAGTATTAAATTAAAAATAGTAGTTATTTCTTATGAATTCAAATTCATTGTTCTAGCAAATCTAGAATCTAGATCAAAACATATCTTCGTTCAACTTTGTTATTCAAAGCTTTCAAGATAATGACTAGCAAATAATACTTGAGGATATTCTGGAAAAGCTAAACTTCATTCTAGCCCAGGAAAAGACATTATTTTATGAGTTTGAGAGATAGGTTTCATCTAAAGTTGATAGAATTGAATTCAGTTAAATCGTACAACAGAAAGCAAACTAATCTGACGTCCAAAAAATATTATTTGAGATATTGAACTGCAATAACCTCTCTGCTAGTTAAAAGATCCAAAATTTCCTTGAGAATTCAATACCGCATGATCAGGAATCAACAGAGAATATCCCACCATCAAACCCAAGTTATCATTAGTAGTAGCAGCAGCACAAACACAAACCATCATAGGTTTCATATGATCATCAATATTCCTATTAAAACACTATTGATAGAGCTAATGACTCTCCCTCTCACAAAATAAACTGTGATTAGTGCTTTGTAGACAATACTAAATATCCACAACCAAATAATTAGAGAAATCCCTAATTTGTTCTAAGACAAGCCTTTAGCAGCTTATCTGAAACAATGCCCAATAATAAAGAAAATTAAGCAACTTATTAGGGAACTTAATAGATAAATCACTCGCTAACTGATGTATAAAAACTAAGTCAGAAGATTGATGATATTTATCAAAGTCTCTGCGCTTGCATTCAAAATCATTGTGCCTCTAAAGATGATCTACTTTAAGTGTAACAGCAAATTGACGCTAAAGTCAACAAAGAGGATTTAGAGATCGCTTTACTTCAAAAAGCAAATAAGCAATCAGTTGCTAATGCTCTCCAAAGAAAAGCTAATAAGCAAGATTTATCTTAGCTAGAGTAAAGAATTGGAGAATAAGGAGTGTCTGACGGAGATAGAAAAGCCATTGATCAGAAATTTGACGAAATCAAATAACAAATTGAAAGATAAAAGGATTCTTACATTGATTTATTGCAAAATGAGATCATGATTCTTAAGAATGAAACAGAGGGATCTCTTAAAAAAAGTATCGGCAAAGAGCTAGGCAAAATCAACCAGGAAATTTCAGTAATCTAGGACAGCTTTCAAAAGTATTTCTCTTAAATTAAGGATAATCAAGAAAACACTGAGAGGAAAAATGATGAATCATATAGAAGTACTCAGCAGAGGCTAGAATTGATTTAAGAGTAGTTGAATAAAGAACTTAACAGTTTTAAAAGGCAAAACAAAGACTCTAAAAAGCTTGATAAGATTAATGACTTTGAAAGAAATATCAAAGCTTAACTTGACGAGTTAAATGACATGATAAAGAGTACCTATAAGGAGATTAATATCCTCAAAGATGATGGTCTCAGAATGAGTGATCTAGTCAAATCAAGATTTGAAGAAAACGAGAAGATAGTCAAATTCAACATTGATACCTTGTCGGCTGAGATGGTGAAACTTAGCAAAGAAACATACTATGAATTCGATCAAATTGATAGTAAGTTCAAAATGAAATTTGTAACAATTAATATTAGGAGAGATGCAAAAGCTAAAATACTAATTGACTTAAGATTCAAAGGGAAACTTGCTTTAAATAAATGACGTTGAGAACTTCAGATTAGATGTGAGAGAACTCAAGATAAAGCTGGAGAAACTAAATGACGAGGTATCTTAAAAGTCAAATATTACAGATGTATGTGCCCTTGTAGACTTAAAAGCAAACTCAGAGGATGTTGACAAAAACCTAGATCAAATCTTTAAGGAGATCAAATATAATTGTGCAACTACAACTTCTCTTGACTAAATCATGGCAGATTAAAAGTTCATCAATGAATCTCTTTGCGCTTTAAATTGCATCGGAAAGTGGGTATGGCATGGCGGCTTTACTAGTGGAGGTACGCTAGGTAGATAAGCTTTCAGCGCAACAAAAAACTCATTTAAAATGTCCGCTTTTGAAAGAGTCTAAGCTACTGATGGAACTGGATAGAATGGATATGTTGACTTTGTTAAATGGCAAAGAGAGATCATCAATACTTGCCCTGATAACTTTGAACTATCAAAGTACGATGATGATTCAAGCGCTCTAATAGTGCACACTAATGGAATCTATGAAATATTATTCACATTCTTTGTGCCTTCTGAATCTCATAAGCCCTCAGTTTAGCTGAGAATAAACGGCAAACCAGTTCTTAGCACCATAGATACTTCGCAATCAGTTATCTATCATTAAGACTCCTTAAGACACATTTCCACTACAACTTACTTGCATATTAGCGCCAAGTCTAAAGTTCAAATATGCTTATCGAACTCCAACCTGTTTAATCATCATGCAACACAGCAATTGTCTAATATGGAATACTAATTCTCCCCTGAATCAGCAAAGGGATTCATCTCCCTTAGAAAACTCTGATGAAATATAACTATTATTAATTAATTGACCTAATCTTATTGCATGCATGCTTGATGGGGTTTTGGGGTTTTGGGGTTTTGGGGTTTTGAGATTGAACTTTTTATATTAGACAA